CTGCTTATGTAGCCCAGGCTAGCCTCAGACTTGCAATCCTCCAAGCTCGACCTCCTGGAAATAGTTCCCAGGGCTAACATATGTGCTTCTTCTACTATGGTGAGTAAGACCGATAGCAACTCCAAACAATAATTATACGTCAGTTCAACAATAATCTTCGGATTAGAAGAAATATATCCAAGAAAGGAAAGCTAAGCAGATGTTCACAATAGCATTGGCACCAACGTACTATAAGAAAGGCTCCTGTGAAGCCAGTTTCTGGGAAACCACCCCCACCCCCACCCCCCAGCCCCAGCTCCCGCCCCCCACCCCCCACACCCCCACCCCCGCCCCATCCCCAGCCCCTGCCCCCATCCCCAGCTCCCGCCCTCCACCCCCCACACCCTACTCCCCACCCCCACCCCCACCCCCAGCCCCAGCCCCCACCCCCACGCCCGCCCTTCAGGGCCATGGCTCAAGGGTTTGAGTCTAAGGCCAATTCCCTTGTCTAACCTGGCATTTCACAAACAGGGTGGCCTCCACAAGCTTCTTGCTGTGTGAGAGAAATAACAAGTAGATAGAGGCTGAGAAGCTGTTTTTCGCCCACAGGAGAAATTGTGCCAAATCTGAGAGAGAAGGCTGGGGGAGGCAGGGCAGGGCTCAGGAGGAGTGGGACTCGGTCACTGCAGAGTGAAACACTGGAGAGGAGCAGAATCTGCCCACGGTGCTTGGGGGCTGAAGGGAAGGCAGGGGACAGTGAGCTGCCTGGCTTCCCCGTGCCTCAGTTTCCCTGCCTTTCAAATTACAGATCTAAAGCCTTCCGCCTGGGGCTGCTGAGATGCTATGATTTGCTAAGTCCCCCTGAAATGTTTTGAAAAAGTATTTTGTTAGCATATGTTGTGAAAAACTCAAATCCAAGTGGATCAAGGACCTCAACATAAATCCAACTACATTGAATCTGACAGAAGAGAGAGTGGGAAGTAGCCTTTTGGCATAGGAGATCGCTTCCTGAACATAACACCAGTAGCACAGACACTGAGATCGACAATTAATAAATGGTACTGCCTGAAACTGAGAAGCTTCTGTAAGGCAAAGGACACAGTCAACAAGACAAAATGGCAGCCCACAGAATAGGAAAAGAACTTCACCAACCCCACATCTGACAGAGGGCTAATCTCCAAAATTTACAAAGAACTCAAGAAGTAAGTCTCCAAAACACCAAATAACCCAATTGAAAAATGGGTTACAGAGCTAAACAGAGAATTCTCAACAGAAGAATCTCAAATGGCCAAAAGACACTTAAGGAAATGCTCAACATCCTTAGCCATCAGAGAAATGCAAATCAAAAAGACTCTGAAATACCATCTTACTCTTGCCAGAATGGCTAAGAACAAAAATACTGAGGATAGTTTATGCTGGAAAGAATATGAAGTAAGAGGAACACTCCTCCACGGCTGGTGGGAGTGCAAACTTGTACAACCACTTTGGAAATCAGTGTGGCAGTTTCTAAGAAAACTGGGAATCAACTAATCTACCCCAAGACTCAGCAATGCCACTCTTGGGCATATACTCAAAGGATGCTCCATCATACCACAACACTTGTTCAGCTATGTTCACAACAGCATTATTTGTAATATCTAGAACCTGGAAACAGCCTAGAGGCCCCTCTACCAAAGAACGAATAAGGAAAGTGTGGTACATTTACACAATGGAGTACTACTCAGTGATGGGGAAGCCCTGTGTATATGTCAATAAAACACTGATGGCCAATAGGGAAGCAAGATAGGTGGGACTAGGAGTTGAGGAGGATTCTGGGAAAGAGAGACACGGCAGAGACAATGTAGCCCGCCAGAGAAGTAAGATGTCCAGACCCTTTTCTCCGGTAATAGAAATACTTAGATTAACAATTATGGGTTAGCCAATAAGAAACAAGCAAATGGCCAACAGCTTCATAATTAATATAGCCTCCTGTGTGTTATTTGGGGACTGGAACTGTGGCAGTGCCCAAGCAGCTGGCGGGGGAAAAACCAAAGCGGTTGGTGGAGGAAAACTACACGTTACAACTCAGCTGTAAGAAATGGTGACATCATTAAATTTGCAGGCAAATGTATGGATTCAAAGAAAAACATCAATTACTGGATGATCCAGTAATTTTTGGAACCAGATGCAGAGATCCACAACCAAGCACCAGGCTGAGCTCTGGGAATCCAGGCAAAGAGCAGGAGGAAGCAATATATGAGCAAGGGAGGTCAAGACCAAGATGGAGAAATCCACAGAGACAGTTGAACCAAGCTCGTGGAAACGCATAAACTCTAGACTGACAGCTGTGGAGACTCCAGGGGACCAAACTAGGCTCTCCATGTGTGGGAGACAGTTGTGAAGCTTGGACTGGCTGAGGGGCCCCTGGCTGTAGGACCACGACACAAACCTGGTACATGAGCTGGCTTGATGGAGCCCTTTCCCCATGATGGGATTCCATGTTCAGTCTTAAAGCATGGGAGAGGGGCCTGGCCCTACTCCAACCTATTGTGCCAGACTATGTTGACTCCTGATGGGAGCCCTTACCTCTGAGGAAGGCCGGGTATGGGGGAGGGAGAGCTGTGGTTGGAATGTAAAGTGAAATTTAAAAGAATTAATAAATTACAAAAAATATGTTGTAGAAATTAGCACTGTCTGGTGGCCCATAAGAAATCAGAGAGGCTTGGGGAAATCGAGTTTACAAAAAAAAAAAAAAAAACCCAAAACATTATCTCACCAACTAAGCAGAGCATGATAAACTTTCATTTCTGTCTCTTGTGTTCTGAAAACAAATTGACATTTGTCTTGTTTCCCAATTATACAAACTCATGCCTCCCTGGAGACCTCTATTCCTATTCGATCCCCCTCGCCCCACCCCCAGCTGTGTGTTTAAGAAGGTCACAATCTAGCTGGAGAGACAGGCCAGGATGAATCGTGTTGGTTTTAAAGTCAGAATGGAGACAGTCAGTCCTACCACCTGGGGCCTCTCCAGAGTTGACATCACAGAATCCCCTCTGGCCGCAGTTGACCCTCACTCAAGCATCCTGCCCCTTCTAAAGGCAGACCTGTGCCAGCCTGCTGAACGGCACTTGCAGGTGAGAGTGTCTCTGCAGCCCTGTGGCTGTGCCTGCAGTCCTGACCTGCCCACAAGACCCAATGCCCAGGGCAGGATCATCCCTCACGCTGTCACACAACACTCTCTTCTGCCATCCCTGCCGTGGAGCAGAGCCTCACCCTCATCCCAGCCCAGGGTCCAGGCTGGGCACTTGTCCTATGGAAGCAGGTGCATTTGGGACCTGTGTATGAAGGGTTCTCCACTGACATTTTGGCTGTCACCCGTCTTGCTTAGGGCTTGGGCTACCCTCTGAATTGTGGGACATTTGCAACATCCTTGCCTCTACCACGAGGTGTCAGTTGCACCCCTCCCCCAGGTTGTGACATCCCCTAGTGTCCTCAGACATTTGCCAACACTGTCCCTAGTTGAGGGTAACTGGGGTAACGCGCCACCCTGGAGATCCTACTGTCCTGGGTGCCTCCCACCAGCTGCCACGGAAACGCTTTCCATCTGGACTCAGAACCTGGCTGGCTCTCTGCTCTGTGGGGACATTTGTTGACGTTTCGGCCTCTGAACCCCTTTCTGGGCTTGCAGTAACTTACCCAACATGAGTGGGAGGCAAAGCCAGGCGCAAGGCTGGGCACGGTCTCTCAGCCTCACTGTGAGCAGTAGATGGTTAAAGGATACACCTGCCTCAGACTTCACACCCCCATAGACTCAGCTCTGTCCCTCTTGGGGTGGGGTGGGAGGGGGGTGATGGCAGACGCACCACCTCCAGTGGTGTTATGTGGCCCCTGCTCCCAGGTCAGCTGCTGCCTCGTTCTGCTGCCTCTCAGTGGCCACTGAGCATGCTCTCAATAGCTGACTGCAGGTTGCTAAGGGTTCCCCAGCCCTTTTTAGACGAGAGTCTCACGTTACCCAAACTATCCTCCAACTCATTGTGTAGCCAAAGTGCCAAGGGTGACCTTGAACTCCGGATCCTATGTGCTGGGATTCCGAGTGTGGACTACCATCTTTTTCCATACCACTCTGTGTGTGGGGGGGGGGTGTTGATCCCCAGGACAAACCCTCTCTCCTCATCACTGACTTCGTGCTAGCCAGGTCTCGGAGGATGGAAATGCCATTTGCTCTGCTGTCTCTTAAAGCCCCCATTCCCCAAGAGCACAGGCGTCCAAAGCCTGGCTTGCAAGGGAGCCTCAGCTCTCTGTCACCACAGGGGTAGACACAGGCAGCAAAATAAATGTGTGGAAGAGGTTCATTGAATCAGTGAGGGGTTTAGAGAATGTATCAGTCCAAAGGGGCTGGGGATGGAGATGGGGGAAGGGAAAAATAGGGGCATAATAAAGCATTGTGTGTGTTTGCACACGCGCACAGGCGTGTGCATGTGTTGGGGGGGTCATTAGCTCTTGTAATACAGAATGAGACAGAAAGAGATGTACATGAAATAATGTCTTTTTTTTTTTTGCGGTTTTCAAGACAGGGTTTCTCTGTATTGTTTTGGAGGCTGTCCTGGAACTCGCTCTGTAGACCAGGCTGGCCTCCAACTCACGGAGATCCACCTGCCTCTGCCTCCCGAGTGCTGGGATTAAAGGCGTGCACCACCAACACCCGGCTGAAATAATGTCTTAAGATGAAACTTTTTTGTGTGTTATGGGGGAGGCGTTCGAGACAGGGTTTCTCTGTGCCTTTGGAGGCTGTCCTGGAACTAGCTCTTGTAGACCAGGCTGTCCTCGAACTCACAGGGATCTGCCTGCCTCTGCCTCCCAAGTGCTGGGACTAAAGGCGTGTACCACCATCGCCCAGCAAGATGAAAGTTTACAAACAGATAATAGTTGCAGGGCATAGCATGGAAAGAAGTTCACTTCACTTAGTGCGCAAGACATCACTCAGCTCTATAAAAGAAACTTTAAAAATTTTAATGGAAAATATGCTGAACACATCTGATAATCCTCCAAGAAAATACAAAATACTAATAAACCCAAGAAAATGCTGAGATGCAGCAGAAACAAAAGAAATTAATATTCAAACATCCATGAAAACACAGTTTTCCCTTATGAGATTGAAGGTGGGACACACAGAACATTCCACATGGCCTGCGGCTACAGTGAATTGTCTCAGCTGGGTGGAAGGGAATGAAGGTTAAGGTGCTTGAGGGAATGGTCAGGGTGCTCATGGAGGGACTACCACAGAAATGCCCCCGATTGTCATCCAGAAATGGCCAGTGACACGGGTAAAGCCACATGCTCCTGCTTTGCACATGGGCCAGGCTGTCTGTTCGAGGCTTGGTCCCTCTCTGGACCTGGGTTTCCTCATCTCCCCACACAGGCTGTAAGGGAGTTTCATTGTTACCCAGGTTAACCATTTACTAATGTTTGCAGTGTGCATACCACAGAGCCTGGCACATAGCAAGTGCCTGGCAGGTGTCACTGATGAATGCAGAATTGATTATCATCCCACACACAAGAAGCTACCTAGGTGACTAAGTGTCTAGAAATAAGAAAGTCTAAGTCACGGCATGATCACAGAAGAGTACGCGTGACCGAGTGAAGAGGGAAGTGAGCAAGGTTCCCACCGCAACGAAAAGAACATCATGCCATGTACTTCTCTAGATGCAGGCCCTGCCTGGACCTTCCCCGGGGCCACCGAGCAAGACGGTGTCGAAAGGAAAAGATAAAAGAAGGCTGTACTTAGAATACTTGAGGCGCTGAGTTCAAACCAGCACCTGAAAACAAAACAAAACAAAAGACGAAGGTAAAACATCACCTTGGGTAAGTGTCTTGCTTTGCATTCATTTACTTAGTTTGGGGGTGTTGTTTTTGTTGTTGTTTTCTTGAAACAGGATGTATCTCCTTAGCTCCAACTGGCCTGGAACCCACTATGTAGCCTAGGATGCTCTCCTCTATCTTTGTCCATTGTCTTGCAACTCCTGGGGTCACTGGTGTGAGTCACCACACCTGGCTTTGTGCGTTTGCTTTCCTGTTTTTGAGACAGGGTCTCATATGGCAAGGGGTGATCTCAGACTTGTTGTGTCGCAGAGTCTGGCCACCGCACCACACACATTTGAACAGATACTTAGAGCAGCATTAGGCTCAGTGCAGAACGCAGTGTAAAGTACAGTGTCCCCTGGGACCCCTGTTCCACACCGGCACCAGAATGCCCAGGCAGCACACTGTGAGACTGACCCAGATGATGTAGGATAATGCTCTTGTTCACTGTAAAGATTTGTCATTCTTATTGGTTTAATAAAATGCTGATTGGCCGGTAGCCAGGCAGGAAGTATAAGTGGGGCTACCAGACAAGGAGGATTCTGGGAAGAGGAAGGAAAGAGACGCAGTCAACAGCCAGACATGGAGAAAGCAAGATGAGAATGCCTTACTGAGAAAAGGTACCAAGTCACATGGCTAAACACAGATAAGGATTATGGGTTAATTTAAGTTGTAAGCGTTTGTTAGTAATAAGCCTGAGCAATAGGCCAAATAGTTTATAATTAATGTAAGCCTCTGTGTATTTATTTGGGACTGAAGGACTGGATGGGATAGAAACTTCCATCTACACCCTGAACCAGTTTCTACTGTTACATGGTGTGCATTTGTAAATGGTAAGATGACAGCCACCCACCACTGTAGGTCCTGAAGAACACTTTCATGGCCTCTGTGCTCTGCGGATTCATCTCTCCTCCCTCCTCTGTTGGGGGAAGTCCTGTGCATTTGTCAATAAAGTACTGTTGAGCCTATAGGGAACCAAGATAGGAGGGACTAGGAGTCCAGGAGAACTCTGGGAAGAAGAAACACAGAGAGTTCGAGATGTAACGCCATTGGGGTAGGAAGCCCGGAAACCTCTCCGGTAAGAGACATACTTAGATTAACAATTATGGGGTAATTACTTAAGTCAGAGCTAGCCAGTAAGAAACAAGCAAGGCCAACAGCTTCATAATTAATATAGCCTCCTGTGTGTTTAGTTGGGACTGATGCGGATCTGGAACCAGGCGGGCGGGAAGGCTCCTCTCAAGGAAAAGCTTCCCTTAACACTCCTCCCTCTGCCAATCACTCATCCTCCGGGTATTCTGAGCGCTGTCTGTTTCTGGCATGTCAGTTGGAATCAGGTGGCCTTTCCACTTAGTTACAGACGTTCACATTTTCTCTATGCTTTTCTTGCTTGTTTATTTTTAGTGCTGAGATGCTCTACCGTCTTGTTGGATCACTGCAGAGACATTGTGGTTGCTTCCACATTTTTGTAGTTATGAATAAAGCATTGGTAAACACCAGCGTGTGGTTACATGTGTGGTTTTCAGTTCTTTGGTAAATACCATGAAACAAGATGGTTTGTGTGCTACCAGTACAATTGGCTTTCTAAGAGACTGCCAAAGTTTTAACCGGCACAGAGTAATCTCTGACTGTTTCAAAGCACAGTTTTCTTAGGGTATCAAATCCTTTAAAATGTTTTACCTTATTTTTCCCACTATTATTTCACATTATTGTGCTTAAGTTACAGGAGGAAAGAGGCAATCAAGCCTCCTGTTCCAGTTCAGGAAGTTTCTAATCAACACTGATTATCAATTATAATGTTGAGTAACTAGGAATGGTGCCATACCTGAGCCAAGACTGAGAAGGGAAAATGGATTCAAGGTTGTGGTCATCTCCAACAAGAGCACGGCACACTGCCCAGAGCTGGCCAGGTTAGCACTGAGCCTTTAGCACCGGGTACAGATTCATGAACTTCTCTGAGGATAGCTGCTGGGTCTTTTGTTGGGTTTGTTGTTGTTTGTTTGGTTGGTTTTTCTGAGACAGAGCTTCTCTGTGTAGCTTTGGAGCCTATCCTAGAACTCACTCTGTAGACCAGGCTGGCCTGGAACTCACAAAGATCCTCCTGCCTCTCCCTCCCGAGTGCTGGGACTAAAGGCGTGCGCCACCACCGCTCAGCTGGTTTGTAACTTTCCATCTGTCGGGGGTGGATACTGCACGTGCCATGGCGCAGGTGTAGAGTTCAGAAGACAACGTGAAGGCATCAGTTGTCCTTTCCACCATGTGGGCTCTGGGCACTGAGCTCAGGGTTACGCATGGTGGCGTAACTCACCCACTGAGCCGTCTTGCCAGTCCATAACTGCTTTTCAAAGAGTGGTTCAGGGTGAGGGACAATGGCTAAGTGAGTATAACCCTGTTATTCAAGCGTGAGGACCTAGGTCCAGATCCCTGGCTCCTGCACAAATGCCAGGCGGGTGTGGCGGCCCACTTGTCATCTTAGCACTCAGAAGGTGGAAATGGAGATCCCGGAGACAGCCCTAGCTGAATGAGAGCCAGACTCTGCTTCGGAATATAATGAGGACAGTGATGGGGAAGATAGCATCCAGCATCAACCTCTGGCCGCCACACAAACCTTCATGCACTCGCGTGTATCTGTACACACATACTTGTTAATACACATGCAAAAAATGCCTACGTGTACACACACGTATGTCTATATGGAAGTATGTATACAGGTTTAACCTGTAGGCTGAGGCAGGGTGGTCACTTTGAGTTTGAGGCTAGCCAGTGAGGCTAGCCAGTGTTACAAAGTAAGACCCTGTCTCAAAAAGTCATTTTTCCAAAAAAGGCTTAAAATTAGGCCCAACCAAATAAATTAAACAAACACAAAAGTCTACCTACTCTTTTTTCCATTACAAGTTTTTTTTTTTTTTTTTTTTGGTTTTTACGAGACAGGGTTTCTCTGTATTGTTTAGGAGGCTATCGGTCCAGCCCGGCCTCGAACTCACAGAGATCCGCCTGCCTCTGCCTCCTGAGTGCTGGGATTAAAGGCTGTGTGTGCTTACATGGGGGCAGATTAGTGCCACAGCACCTAACCGGAAGTCAGGGGACAGCTTTCAGGAGTCCCTCCTTCCAGGATGGGATCCCCCTGCTGAAGCTTCTCACTGGCTGCCTCCATTCCAAATTCACACAGAACGCATTTTGTCACGTCAAAAGCTTCTCTCACCCCTTTTACAACATGGGCTCATGTAGCTCGGGACGCCCTGGAACCGGTTGTACATCCAAAGCTGGCTTTGAACTTCTGATCCTCCTGCTTCCGCTTTCCAAGAACTAAGATTACAGGCTCCCCTGCCATGCCCATAGAGACAGCCCAATTTCTCCCCGCTCAGCTAGCCACGGAGGGACCCTTCCTGCCTCAAGACATAAATGCAGAAAGCGAGCGGCTTCTGTATAAAGGGAAGAAAGAGGGGGAGGGGCTCCACCTTAGGTCTCAACTCATGCTTATAATCGTCTGATGTGAGGTCCCAGCCCTCCTGGGGTCGTCCCCTCCCCTCCCTGAGTCTCTCCCGCCACCCAGCCAATATTGCAGCAACTCGGAGCCAACGGATGTGCTGGCCCAGAAGAATTGACCTGGTTTAAATATTGGCAGGAGTGAGCCGCGATCTCGCTGAGGTTGCCCTCCTTTGAGTTGTTACCCATGACCTGACCAGCAAGCCTGGCGGGTGGTAAAGGTCTCAGAGCGCTTCGTGTGGCTTCAGCGCACGTAGCGGGCAGGACCAATATTTGCTCTCTGACGCTGAAAGTGAGGTGCCGAGACCCGAGCCTTTTTGACACTGCTCCGCCAGTGCTCTGCGCCCCGGTAAACACCACTGGCTGAGGCTTGGGTGCTCTGGGTTCCTTTCTGGGAACACGAAACCCTCCAAAAACCGTTGAGGGACCGTGCTGGCTTCGTAACTGGGCACCACAGCCAGATCACAGAGGCAGCCGCGGCTTGAAAAGGCCTGGAGAACAAAAATCAATACAGGCCCTGCTCGCCAAGATCCCACAGCAGGCTTCAGCTGTTTGTCGATGCTGACACGGAAAAAGCGGAAGCCGGACTCCAGCTGCCTCTGGGGTGGGGGTGGGGGGCGTGTTGGCAGCACCTGTCTGGTAGCCCCTCCATGGGGCCCCAAGAATGGGGCTGAGGTCAACGTCCTGCAGAGGAAGTAACAGGAGAGCACGCCAAGGCCAGCTTCGCACTGTGCTAGTCACGCATGTGCATACGCAGTCACTGATCTCCACCACAAGCCTGTGCAACCAGAGAGGGGAAGGTCGTGTGACCTGCCGAAGGTCACCCACCTGGTAAACTCAAAAACCGGGTCCCAACCCACGCTGCCCCCTTACAGAGGCCCCGTCTTGCCACATAGCCGCACCACCCACTCTCTGGAGCATCAAGGGTCACAGCAACCTAAGCATGACCTCGGGTCCCAAAGTACAGACTTAAACGCTCTGCCAGCATGGTGAGTGGGGTGGACTTGTAAAGTCACTTGAGACGCTGAGGCAGGAGGACTGAAGGTTTAAGGCCTGCCTCTGCAAGTCCGTGAGACCCCATCTCTAAATGGAAATGAGAAAAGGGACATGGGGACAGTTTAGTTGGCCTGCCTTGTGCGTGTGAGGCCCTTGGTTCAATTCGTGAGGCTGCCATGATAAAATATTGTAATTGCTTTATTGATCACATTTCCTTTCTCACCTTGGAAAACTGGCATTGGTTCTGTGTCCTGGCTACAGCCCTGCTGAAGATTTTTCAGACTTCCAATGATCCTCCGAGGCTCTCAAGCTTGGGGAGTGTTTGTCCCTACTCCCTCTAGCAGATGTGATCCCTAGGGACAACCTAATAAGACGGGAAGACAGCTATCTGGTGAAGCGTTCTCCTTCAGAGTTGCCATCTGAATGACCGAGATCCAACCTAATTGCTTGTAAGACCCAGGTCTCAGAGACAGCA